ATGCAGATGTGTGAGAACGGCGCCAGAAGCACGCCTACAGTTGCCATGCCTACAGTTGCCACGCCTGCCACCGGAGGCCCTTCGCAGTCGACGTCCAGCGATGGGGCCAATGGATCCGACCGCACAAGGTCACCACCACCTAGGGCAAGAACTGTAGCACTACGCGGTATGAACATCAATATTCACTAAGCATTGTATGATTATTTTTTGTGCAGTGTTTCCAGGACCACTTGCATCTTACTCGAGTAATTTCTACTCCAGGCAAGTCTCGTACTATAGACATCAAAACTCCCGATAAACTGGAAGGAAGCATGCTGAATTGAGCGATGTCAAACACTTTCGCCTTCTGAAGCACGAAGAACCTCACATTGCATGTTTGATTAATTGCATTGTTCAGAAAGTAGTCTAAACTAAGCTCCTTCTGCTGGAAATTGTTTGCTTGTCATGGGTGCAGCTTGTTGCAATTTCATTTTTTTCAAGAACAATTCAAAGTAGGTACAGCGCAGTGCTGCAAAGAGCTGCAGGAGTGGGTGCCTATGTAGCTTCCTACATGCCACAAGCTAAATTAAGCGCCTGTGTTGAGCGCCTGATTGTTTTGAGAGTGTGAGCCATCAACACAAAGTGCTCAAACTCCCTATTAAGAGCTGTCCAAACGGCATGTTTTCTGCCGTTCGTGGCATTTGCTGTACCAGTAGTAGAGGTGTTCCTACGTTTCCCGTCTGCTGTCATACATTCTTTTTGTCGGGAGAAGAACTCCCTATGGTAGCCTGCTTTCTCCGCGGCAAAAATGATGCAGAGTGTAAAAAAGCCTTCACTTCCGTCACGGCAAATGTCGCAAATTGCAGGAAATGCATCCTATTTACAGCCCTTTACGTTGCTTTGGGTTAAGTGTGGCAGCAGTGTTGAGGCAGTAGTAACAAAAAGGCAGGTTGAGCAGCAGGCAGTACCACACTAGTTAGGCTTCACTATTTTGATTGGCACTGTACCTACACGTGTGCTGAAGCCTAGGTCTTTGGTCCTGCATTAGGTATCCCATGTGCAACGGCTGCAATTATTTCTAATTTACATTCAAAGCATAGTGAATGAAATATGATTTTGCCTGGAGACTCCATTAGCTGCCAGTGATTGGGGTAAATATGTTCACTACAGCTGTTGACAATGCCCACCCGAGTGAGTTGATTCTTTTTGAGATACTTGGTTTGCAATATTCAGTTTCATTTTAATAAGGTGGTACAACAAGAGCTACAAATGCAGGCTCAAATGTGTGGAAGGCACTTTAAAAGCGAGGGTGCACTTCTAATCAGAAAGGACAGAACGAGCCGATTGGTAGGGATAATTAAACTTGAGGAAGAAAACGAGAAGGACGGACAACCACAAACATCCAATGAAAGCTTGAGGTCGTCTGTCCTTCTCGTTTTCTTCCTCAAGTTTAATTCTGATGAGAATGCCTCGGAGAATTAGAAACAACCAGTTGCTTATCGTTGTAGGGGTGAACCATATCGGAATCGTTTTCACTCTGCTGTCATTTTTTCTGATTTCTCATGACTTTGTGCAGGAAAGAAGAAAACTCGCGGTGGGGACGTGACCGCCTTCTTACAGCACCGCAGCCATCAGGAACGAGCCACCCGAGAGAGGAAGCTCGATATAGAAGAGCGGACACTCGCTCTAGATGAAAAACGGTTGGAGTTGGAGCGTGAACGATTTGCCGAGGAAGCCCAGGCCAGAGCTGAGGAAAGGCGCGAGCTGTCCGAACAGCGTCGGTTCATGTTCGAATTCCTGCTCGCTCAGGCCAAAAGGAGTTGAAGATTTGTGGCTCTATACTTCCCATAAATGGAGATGACACATTTTATTGAATATGATCTGCAAAACATTCCAGTAATAAAGGACGCCATTTGCAGCAGCAAATCTTGTTTTAACAATGAACACATCAGAAGAAGAAAAAAAGTAGATTGATATAGTCTGCAAGTTTTTGATTTTGCTGAAAATGTAAATATGTACAATGCTTGAGGGCAGGTAGGCACACTGTACGATATAAACATGTTGGATGGCACAGTCTGACGAAGTAAAAGCAGATTTGAAGGAAAACCATCTGCTACTTGGAAAGCTTGGCAGCGAGGCACCAATTTCTGTCACATCTATTTTGCTATTGTGAAAATGGCACGCACTATCCCACTTACATCATAGTTCATTGAAATTGCCTTGTGCTTCATCCATACTCTGTTTACCGTTAAGCTGAGACTGCAGCTAATGTCACAAATATGAGAACTCGGGGTAGCTGCTTTGAAGCGTTCTTCCGCAGAATAAGCACTCATGCTAGAAATGCACCTCTCGAAGCCAGGAGCGCGGTCTAGCTCACACTTACTTTGGCTGCAGTCTCAGCTTAAGGGTGAACAGAGTATAGTTGGGTGTTGTCAGATGCACGATTTAAAATGACTGCTAGTACTAAAAAAAAAAAGGTTTGTAAAGAATTAATTTACTCAATTGTTATGACAATGGGGCACAACCCAGCATCATATCACGCACTTCAGATTCTGCCAATTTACTGCAATGCAACCAAAAATTCTATTGTAAACTTGAATAACTAGCGAGATTCTATTGGTACTTCCAGCCAAACTGAAGTGGAAAAAATTATGTTACGTGTCGAAAATTATAAAGGGCTACATGCTTGTTCACTGACAGTTAATAAGATTACCACAAGATGTACAGTCGGCACGGAATGAAACGCGAACAGCGGGTGCACGGTTTTCGCTAGATGCTGCACCACCTGAACCAGATGGGAGCTGCAAGAAGATGGCTCCTCCTTCGATGTGTTAGACTCTTGCTCAGTGCATCCAAACTTTCGGTGTTGCGTCTCTAGGTGACTCAGCGTGGGTCGAAAACCATGCGCTCTTTGTTCGCGTTTCATTCCGTGCCGACTGTACATGCAATAAATTTCTTGCCGCCGGCTCCTTGCATTGCTCGAAGTATCGGTGATTTGCCAGCCTTTCATGCCGCATAAAATCAAACAAAGAAAGTTATTAACTAGACATAGGCTGGAGATATTCCATCAGTGTTGGAGGTTCCAGATCAAAAAAGCTAGTGATTCGGCTTCCGTAGATACAGGTGCGGCAGTTTGACAAAAGGACAGCCACCCTGTACATGAGAGCAACCTTTTGCTTGCGGATCTTCTGATTATTTTTTTTAAATCGACAAAGGCAAATCCAGCAACAACCTTGCCGAACCCCCATTCAACGGCTTGCCTTACGGTACTCATCGCTTGGTTAAATTCCACCTGTGCTGGGGTCGCCTTTGAACCATAAGGCTTGAGCAGGAGTGGCCTCAAGGGATAGGCCGGGTCACCGTACAGCACATACGAGTGGCCATCCACCAACTGTAACAACGTGTCGTACAGCCGGCTCTCTCGCAGCATACCAGCAGGGGAATGAATTGATGCAGGAGATTAAGTGCGGATCATCTGCAATTAATTTACATTCAGTTTTAGCACAAATAAATGGAGCATTTCTGCAGGCAATACAAATAATTAACAAAGTTACCCGGGGTAAATGAAAAACCCTACAACCACCAGTGAACACTACATAATGAGCCTTGTGTTGTTTTCAAACACTTCGCAAAATCGGAATTTACAATGTGGTTATGGTGTCAATGACAACAACCTCACCGCTTGGGTGAACTTTCTATTGTGGCGCCCTAAATGGAAAATAAATGTGGGGTTTTAGTGACTTTTTGAACCGCAGAATTAAGCTAGTTTTGCATCAGAATCGTCCGCCTAAAGATAGGCACTTGCATCGGCGGATCATTGCCGCTGCATATTGACACTTTCTGCCTCTTCTTGGAAAGCCCAGCAGCTGGTGCGGCCTTTTGGAACGTGCGCTGGAAGCTTGATGCGAACTTTCTCTCCCGGCTTGAACTGGCTGACCTTGGCTCTCCGGCGGGTCCGTGTATGCTTTGGACTTCCATTGGTACTGGGCCATATGCTCTCGTAGGCTTGCAAGACTTCTTGCCGGGTTGCTGAAGAAGTCTCTGGATGGTCCCCCGACAATGTCCAGTTTCGTCCTGGGGCGGCGTCCGTGCAGCAGGAAGGCTGGCTTCTCACCAGTGGCTGTGTGAGGAGTGCATCGATAGACACCCAGGTGCTCTACTACAGCTTCCTTCAGGGACCGTCGCTCCTGGGCACTGAGTTGCACAAAGTCCTTGAATACACGGTCAAAATGCTCAATTTTGCCGTTGCTTTGAGGATAATACAGAGAGGAAAGGGTGTTTTTCACTCCCCGATCTTTCAAGAATACTTCAAACTCGGCAGACACGAACTGACGATTGTGATCGCTGACAAGTTCAGTGGGGTAGTCCTCACAAATAAACACCGGCCATAAAAAAGAAACAATACTTCCCGACATCACTCCTCAGCAGGCACACCTCCGGACACTTGCTGAATTCGTCAATTAACATAAGGGCATACCTGTAATCATTCAGAGCACATGACAAAGGTCCCACAATCTTGATTCAGAGTTTCTCCCAGGAGCAGACGGCACACACGTTGTGTTGAAACACTTCAATGCCTCACCATTGATTTTGAGAAGCGAAAGCTTCTTAAAACCAATGGTGACGCCGTCGCACTTGGAAGCGACGGCGTCGATTCCAAGTATGTTCGTGCCTTTCGATAGGACGTAGAAATGCACGTCAGCGTTTCACTTTTTGTAAGCAACCACGGCAACAAAACAACCCGTCACTGCAATATTCCGCTGCGAAAAATCAAACAAATTAACAGCCAAGTCCTGTAGCTGAAGCGAAGAATCAAAATTCTTCTGATATGTATCTTCAGAGATCATCGAAGCTGCTGACCCGGTGTAAACCAAAATATATAACACCATTTCCTCGACATGAACAGAAATGGACATACTGCTTTTCGTGTACCTGCGGAGTACCGAGGACGGCATCCTCGCAGCTATCCAAGCAGCCAACTTCTCTGATGGTCCGGACTTCATTCAGGTGGACGGCGGTACTCATGCAGACAGCACGAAAATGCCAGAATTTTCCGAAGGCAGTGCATGTTTTCCTTCTTGTCTTATATGTACCGAAATTCGCAAGATGTCCTGACGACCCAGAATGGTAGAACTTCTTTCTAGAGGGGGTCGGAGGCTCACTTTCCCATGGATGCGTGGTTGATCGGCGCTCCGCATAGGCTTAGCGTCCACCTTTGGCATTGCTGAATCTGATACAAGTTCCTTGGAGTAGCGTACTGTTTCTTCGACCAAACAACCGATGACCAATGCAGAGTCCGGGGTGAGACAGGTACCCTCCAGGAGCAGCCGCTCTCGTAGCTGCTGGATCGACGTCTTTGCAACTAGCTGGTCTTGGATGAAGTCGTCCACCATGGCTCCAAACTCGCAGTTCGACGACAGGTCCCGTAGTTCAGCAAACAATCTGTCAATGGATTCCCCACGTAGCTGCACTTGCTGCCCGAAGCGATGTCGTGCGTCGAACAGGTTTGGAGTTGCCGCAAAGCAGCTCGACAGGGCTGCCAGAGCGACATCGTACTTGTCCAGTGCAGTGGGTGTCTTTTGGCCTTCAGGGGGTTCACGTAGCCCCAATATCTGAGGGCGCGTCTCCGGAAGAGAGTAGAAGATCCGTTGGCCTCTAACCCAGAGGCAGTGCAGCAGTAAGGCCTTCTGCCGAGCATGTTCGTGGGCGTTGCCTCCCATAGCAAGCAAGTAGTTATTAAACACACGTTGCCACTGTTTCCACAGAATAGCAGGTTTTCCGAGAGCAGGCAGGAATGAGGGAAACGCCATGAGGCTCATGCTATCGCTTTCTTGTCGCCACTCTTGCCACTGCCGAAGCAGCCAAAGTGACACCAATGTGCCAATGAAGAACCCTTAGCTTTATTATCTTTTCTCTTTTATAGCCATGCAACGCGCTAGTGGTGCCACCATACGATAGTAGCACCGCCCCGACAATCAGGATTACAAATAAGCATATAGCTCAGAATTTTCTACATATGTTTCACAACACCTTAAAGAAATTATTTCTGACTCAAATTTCCTATTCGAGACACCGATAAGCTCAGTACCCTCTTTTTATCGTTGGTCTCAGGCAACAACACTTACCGGAGTCATGTCGACGTCCCTTGTATGGTCCGTCAAGCTCGCATATTATTCCGTTTGCACACATGACTGATTGGTATTTTACCACATGGTGGCGCTTGTGCCCAGAGAAATATTTTTCCTGGGACTCTGAGGGGCGGCAGATGGCGCGCGCGTGCCGTGCCATCAATGAATCCCCAACAGTTCGTCAGGGGTGCTCCTCTTGCATGGACCGCCTGGTAGAAAGCAGAATGAAGTTTTAGACGAGCAGAGGCATACCCAGAAGATTTTTTCAGTGGGCGTTTTTCTTTGCTCAAACTGTTCAAAATGCAAAAAAAAAAGAAGAAAAGAAACAAGAGAGGAAAAGAAATTGCACAAACACAATCTTAGGTACTATTTTTCAGTTTCTTAGAAGACAAAAATTCAACCTTTTTTGCCACATCTCGTTCGTTCAATCTTTAAAGAGGGAAACTTTAATAGTGAACAACGAAAACACACAATCATAAGATATAATTGGCTTTGAACATAAAAAAGTCTAGACAGGCCCACAAAATATTCCGGTGCATACACTTAATAAGGGCGCGGCGATGTGGGTTAGTTGGTTGATACTGATCAGCGCTTGTCCTGTTTGCACTTCCCACTTCCTTTAGTCCCCGTATACTGTGTGCTGTTCGCCTTTTCGTCTGCATATACTTCTCTGCGTAACACTCGGTTATCCAATGACTAAAAACTACAGAAGGGTGCCAGAGAATAGTGAAGTTTAAAATATGATTAAACATAAACACTGCAATGTGCACTGGGGCAATGAGCAAGTGAAACATCATGCTCATTGTTCCTGCATGAAGGCACGTAGCCAGAGGGGGGAAGGGGGGGCATGCGGCCGTCCCCCCCCCCCCCCCCCCCCCCTCCACCACCCCCCAAATCTTCCATTTTGCTGGGACTTCCTCTCCCCCCTCCCCCTCAAACAGCATTTCGTCATGGGCGGGCCCTCCCCTCCCCCTTCCCCCCGCCCCTTCCCCAAAAACAAAATCCTGGCTACGTGCCTGCCTGCGTGGATCATATTTTTCAGAAATGATCGTGCTATAGTCATGCTTTGGGTTCTTTCCATTCTTTGATGTCATTTTACGAGAAAGGGGCAGAAAAAAAGTACCAGTTTCAATAATTTCGTGGGGTCTAAAGATTTAGTGGGAGCCGCCATCGGCCGATAGAGTTAGCGGGAGGACACTTTCGGGGCTGACTTAGATGTTCCGGTGAATGTTCAGAAGTGCAACCCCTAGCGAGCGCTATTGGGACGTTGAAGCTCTCAAGTATGACTCGAGTTTTTGAAGTCTCGAGAACGAACGTTCCGTTTCAGCGGTGCTAACGGGCGTGGTGGCCAGGATTCGCAGCAGGCGGTTTACATTAGGATACAAAGCCACCGGGCAAAAGCAAGTTGCCTGTACCGCTGAGACGTGCTAAGCGGTGCGGTCCTTCCACGTCTCTGTCCAGACCAGAACTTCCCCAGGCAGTTTATTTAACGTTGAACACAATATTGCCCTCACTTAAGTCTATTCACACGATGCATCTTGTTGGAGAATCTTGTGTCGCGAAACTAGGTTTTGGGAAACAGATTCCCCGTCTGAATGCGACCGAAAAAGTGGCGCGTTTCCGAAAAAAGTGGAGCGTCTTCCTCGCTTCTGGAGCAATTTTTCGCTGAAACCTCACCGAGGCCTGTCAATCACCCGAAGGAGAAACGCAGACGCTGCCAATGGCCGCTCGACTTCGCTATGACGTCGACCTTCGAGGAGGAGCGAGCTTTTGGAGGAGTCTGAGTTTCGGCCGATTCCGTATCCGAGCCAAAGCCGAAAGAAAATAAACAAACATGGCGAGCGACAAGCGGAGAAGCGATGCGTACGGGCGATGAGTCTTGGTCCTACTCGGTTGCAGTTGCAGGTGTGTGAACGGCGCCTACAGTACGGGTTGGTTGCGCGGTGCAGATTCAGCAATAGTGGCAACGAGTGCAAGCACCGGATATAAACCTGATGACTGGGCATAACTTTATTAGCGGTGCAAAAATGTCCGAAATGCTTCGAGATCATTTGCCTGTTCTTTGACGTTCGTAGTCTTTCCCGGGTTTGGCAGGACTAGTAAACCCAGTGATCCGAATGTGACGAAGTTCATTGAGTGGTATTAAGGCCACGGTCCCACTGAATGTGGCAGTTTAGGTACTTTTTGGCAGGTCATTACTCATCTCCTTTTAAATACTGTTTTGTGGGGTTAATGTCATTCGAAAGGCAATGCAATCCTCTTTCATTTGATATTATGTATGTCTTGGTTTTTACGTTTCATGCGTGTTTTTAGCGTTGCGAATATGATGACGTGGACCCTCACTTGCTCCGCTAGTTCATGTTTTATGAACGATCCATTAAAGATAGCACGGTTCCAATATAGCAGTTTTGTTAAGATGATGTCGGAGCAGAATGTAACGATACACTTTTCTGGTATTTGCACTACTTTGTTTTTTTCATCCCTCCAAATATTGCCCGAAAATTGTCATTTTTCAGCACAAATATATTTGTAATGACACGCGCTAGGGCAATGAAATTAGCTACAGATATAGTGCTTATAATTGGTAATATGCAAAAAAAAATTAATGTTGTGTAAAATTTTTTTGTTTAGATATTTTATATCAAACGTAGCACTTTTTAGTGCTTCGAGTCATGGTACTTCAAATGCCGCTGAGGAAATAATTAAGCTATGACAAAATTTTTTATAAAATTTAGAGCTACAATGGTTGCCCAAGAGGTGGACGATGGCTTTTTTTCATTTTCAAAGTCATAACGCTCCAGGAGCCCTTCAAACTTACCTGTTTTTGATGCACATCTTTTTTGGACATCAAACAGATTTATTGGCATCTAATAACATTTATTGCTTGGAATAGATATACATTGCGATGCATTCAATTTTCACAATGATCTTGCTTTGGTTTCTTAATAGGTGTAGAGCTTAGCTAATTTTAAAAGTAATTAAAAACTGTTTGGGTGTTTTGTTGCGCTATCTGGCGGATGGCAGACAAACTGCTGATTTCTAGTGTTCAAAAAATTTCCGAGGGCGTCGTTGGCGTCTGTATCATCATCAATCTCCGTGTCTTTTTACCTTCACATTTAAAAAATATATTGGAAGATTTACTATCGATAAATGAATGGTTTAAGTACTGGGTCCGATTAATAAATCTAAGACAAATAATTACACGCATGTAGCGTGAGATAATGTGTTCATTATTCGATATGATTGAAATCAATAAACAATAAAGACGAAGAGGAAAATAATACACCCGAGTTCACTTCATGTCTAGAGTCACTAAATGAGCTTTAAAGTATCGGCATTCCGTTCCCCAAAATTGTTTTGGGCGCCGCCATTTTGGGTCTTGTTCAGAGCAAACGCAACTGCCGATCGTCATGATCCAAAAGTACGACTTCCTCAGCATTAGATGCGGTGCTAGGAAGCTGATGCAATATTGCAATGCTCTCTCGCGGGTTGTTTAAACATTTGTGGGGTGCGGAAAAGCGTTTCCTGTGATTTTAGATAAAGCTTCAGGTAACTGGCAACCATGATTTTAAGCCACAATATGGCCAAGTGTCGTTACTCTGAACCGTAGCTAATTTGTACCCGTTACACGAGCATCCTTAACCGTGGTTAACTCAGCTTTAACTGCTGTTACGTGGCACCACAGTTACCGCACTATACTCTCGGACAGCTATTTCAGAAGAAGTGGAGAGCGCTCGTGCACTGCTTCGATGTGTGCTCAAGATGCTCAAGCGCACGTTCGCCCATAGCTTTGACTGCATAGCCAAAGAATGTTGTCGGCCAGTATTGTGCGCTAACTGTGGCTTAGCGTAACTGCAGTCAAGTGCGCCCGTATAACAAGGGTATTACTGGCACAAGTGGGAACAATGAGGAAGAGGCAGGTGTCAAAAGGTAGTGGCTTGTGGAATCCACGGGGCTTACGTCATGGCCCCTCCAGGTATTACAAGCCTCTTGAACAAGAGTATGAATAGTGTCATTAAATAAGCTACGCGTCAGAGTAGCGACACTTGACCATATTGTGGCTTAAAATCATGTTTGCCAGTTATTTGAAGCTTTATCTGAAATCACAAGAAGCGCTTTTCCGTCCTCAACTTTAAACTGTGTGCGACAAAGCAAAGCAACATTACGTGAGCTTCCTAACACCAAATATAATGCTGAGGATGTCGGACTTTTAAATCTTGACGTTCGGCAGTTGCGCCTGCACTGCACAAGCACCAGAATGGCGGCGTTCACAACACTGACGGGGAAGAGAGTGCCGATACTCCAAGCGCAGCTCATTTATTTGCTCTAGTTCCCGCAAAACTCCTTTTCCCTGACTGAAACTGAAGGTAAATATGAATAATACACTATTATTATAGCTTATTTAGTTTTAACCAACTACACATAATGAGAGGAGGAAGCGGCCGGGTAGGTGAAACGTGGGTTTTATGTGCGACCGTACTAACCGTCTCAAAAGAGAGAACGCGCGAGCTTGCGCTGGTTTAAAAAGAGGCATCCAAAGAAAGAAGCGGCACACTGTGCTCTTAGTTATTATGCGTCTAATTGGAAATTGTCGTGTGTATGTTTATACAGCCGGAGGTTAGTCCGCCTTAGTGGGCGTCTGACTCTCAGCTGTAGATGAGCAGTTTAGCCAGTGCGGTACAACCGCAAAC